TTTCATAAAGAAAATGCCAGTTCAGGCGGTCAAAGGCCTTTTCAGGATCTAAAGATAAAATAATGCTTTTTTGTTTAGATAATTTCACAATGTTGTAGATATTCAATACTTTCCTTGTATTATCCGGACCCTGACTGCCTGTCACGAATCCCACTTGGTCAGTATGTATTAAACTAGGTAATATGGATTTAAATCTTTCTGCATATATTTTTGCGTATAACTTTGCATCTGTATTAAGCAATGATATAGGTCTAAAATTTTGGCATGCGGTAAAGTTCCCCTTTTTTGTAGCTTCATTAAAAAAGTGAGTAAGAGCTGTAGCCAATAAATGTTTAAATGTAACATAATACAGGTTAGTAAATCCATCAGGACCTGGTGCTTTCCCTTTAGGCATTCCATCTATATGTTTTATTATCTCTTCTGTAGTAATAGGTGCTTTAAGCTGTGTTATTTGGTGTTCTTGTAAGTTGGCAGGCCCAGTTTATCTAGATATTGACGTATGGCCGTAGGAGTAGGTTGCGGTGTGTATTGTTGGTCTTTCAAATTAAATAATGAGCTATCCTTGTATTTCCTGTCTGTTTAGTTATCTACTGTATTTTTGAAAGGTATATTTGAGTTCATTCCTTTCATATCACTTATACATGGTTCGTGTATCCCAATTACTGCGCTCAGCCTCACTATAGCCACATTACATCCAAAGGGGTCCTAGGGAACGGGGGTTTGATTTATTTGACTTGCCTCGTTAGGCCACAGCTCTACACGATCAATCCATAATACATCTGTCTCAATGATCTGCAAATCTTGAATATGGATACTATGCCCACCTTCTCTTGGTCTGGGATAATCATGTTCTATTAATTTTGTTTTAGGTTTTCCTTAGTTCCTTCTGTTATTGGTGATACTAGCCACCCCGATTTACAATAGTTATCTGTCCTTATGCATTTATAAAAAATTATAACTTTGTCTGGTGGGTCTCTAGTACACTTATATATACATATTTTTACATGTAGGTCCTGTCGTTCTATAGAATGTGACGGCAGATAAGAACCATTCGGCCCATCTAGTCTGCCCAATTTTCTAAAAACTTTCATTAGTCCCTAGCCTTATCTTATAGTTAGGATTTCCTTTTCTTTTGGTTCTCGGACAGCTGTCACACAATAGGTTAGTTGTTTGCACTATTTAATTTTAACTTTTTTACTATAGTAATTAGATTATGCTAATTTTACTTTTCTATGTCTCATCTATTACCTCTTGTTTTTTAAGAAGTCACAATTTGTGATGGCTAGATACGTTATCCTTGTTCGTCCTCATTTTTTTTTATTATCAAGCTTTCATTTAAGGTTAGAGAACTGGTTGTATTGGGTAAGGTGCTGGCTTTAGTTTAACGTATGTTAGCTAGTCCTGCGAGGCCAACTCCCACCTCAACACGGAGGTTTCGTCCAATCGGCCGACATCATAGATATAGCCTCTCATCACCCACCTTTTGAGTTTATAGTTAGGGCCTCACCTGTCACAGTCACACGCTTTGAATCTTTTACTGTCACCGAGAGGCCAACACCCCGCCACAACGTTCAGTGTCTCAAGCCCCACGGGCCTCTGCATCTTGGCAACTAGCAGGGCCTCACCTGTCACGGGGTAGTTAGTTTTTCGCTTAGGAACTAGTTAGCCAGTGCTACAAACATGTGGGGGATTATGTATTCAGTTAATTTTACTTGTATCTTCTTTTCAGTATGTCACAGGAAGCTTCTGCTCAACCACGTCTCACACCACAAATTTGTCCTTCGAAGAGGACCCATCCAATTATGCTTCCAATCCAGGTTTCTCTAGCAAGCCCGACTAGCGAGGTTTAAAAGACAAACTTGGGTGGCCCACTGTATTCCTGGGCAACACACAATTTTAATGCAGAGGCATGTAGTTTCAGCATCTGAAGATTGTTTCACATTTGTTCGATATGCTTTAGGGCACATGCCGGATCCATGGCCCTGTCTCAGAAGAGGTTGATTTGGACTGGAGGAATGCAATTCAGAAGGAGCTCTGGTACGAGGCCATGGAGGACATTCAGGTTCGGCAGAGAGAGAGCCTCCCAAACCGAGAGCAGCATTTCCAGGTACAAGTGGCTCCTTAGATGCCTTTCCTGGGAGAGCAGCACATGGAGGAGTGTGTGATGGAACTTGAGAACTTGGTCTGGAAGGAACTGTGGGTGGATGAGGCTTACCGGGAGTTAGGGTGGTACACGACCCGGCTTCACCAGTGGATGGCAGAGGATGATGTGCCAGTGGGTGAGGCCTGTTGTGGAAGGCCTTGGAGGATGACATTGATTTTGGGAGTCCTGAAGAGTTTCAACTCTGGGACATCCACGGTGCTAGGGATGTCCTTATTGATCTTCATGGAGCTGCCGACCTGGGGCCAGATCTAACCTATCTGGCCATCCTGAAATGGGAGCTGAAGCAAGATTACAGACGACCGTTCGACTCCATTCAGCAGTGTACAATGCAGTGTACAACCAGTCTCTCTCCCCAGCAGCAGCTGGAGTTACAGGGAAGGTAGACAGTCTGTCTCACTCTCCAGCGGCAGGGTGAGTTACTGGGAGTGGAGTCAGTCGGTTTCACTCCCCAGCAACAGGCATCACTGGGAGTGGAGACAGCCGGTGTCACTCCCCAGCGGCAGAGTGTGTTCCAGGGAGTGGAGACATGCAATCTCACTCCCCAGCAGCCGAGTGTACCACTGGGAGTGGAGACAGCCAGTCTCACTCCCCAGCGGCAGAGTGTGTTTGTAACATATTCATCCTCACCTTGCGACATCAATAATGATTGCCTTGCCAACAAGTGCGGTAGTGCCGTTCAGCGGCCATGCTTTAATATGTCTGACCCCTGCAGCGTGTTAATGGTCCGCCGGTCACTGCAAAAGACACACACACACGTTCTGGGGTCATAGGATGGTTACGGCCAATCAAATCCACAAGAGGGGTATTTAAGCTCATCTCTTCCTTCAGCTCATTGCCCTCTCATGATTTTCCTTAGCGGTTGTCCGAGAGTGCGTTCCTGATTATGTCTGGTTATTGACTTTGGCTTCGTTTGACTTCCCTGTATTCTGGTATCCTTGACTTATGGCTTTCCCTCATCATTGTATCTCTTTCTGTGTCCCTGACTTCGGCAAGTATTCTAACTATTCTCTGGTACGTTAAGTCTGGCCATTCTAAGGCCCGGTAAGACATTACTTATTAGTCCTAGGTGTGACAGTTTTACGTGCTGGATCAACTAGTAATCCTGACTGTGCTACAGGGAGGCATCACTGGGAGTGGAGACAGCCACTCTCACTCCCCAGCGTCAGAGTGTGTTACAGTGAGGGGAGACAGCTGGTCTCACTCCCAAGCGGCAGAGTGTGTTTGTGGGAGTAGAGATGGTCGTTAGTGCGTGTTATCAGGAGACACCGGGGTTGACAGATGTTACCCACAAAGCAACAAGGAACTGCCAGAATGAAGCATGGCGCAGGAGGCTACAATGTTTACTGGGTGTTTTTGGGCAGGCTTCTTGACTGTCAGACAAACAGTAACTGGTTAGTCTTCTTGGAGTAGGGGAGGAAATGTGTGCTACCACTAGTGGCGGATGTTCACCAGAGATGTCAGGTCTTTTCTCACCTCGTTAGCAGGAGCCCAATCATGCATGCCCTCCCTGTAATCATAGATGTCACAGAATCGGGACCCTCCCGAACTCCGGTTCTGCGAAGGCCTCCCACAACAGGCCAGGGCCATTGTAATCCTCACCCTTGGGCCTGTCATGCTCAGCCATCCAGGGGACATGCCGAACCGTGTACCACCATAGTGCCTGGTATGCGTCGTCCAGCCACAGCTCTTTCCATACCAGGCTCTCAAGTTCCGTCACCCACTCATCCAGGGGCTGCTTTCCAAGGAGAGACATTTGCAGAGCCACTCACATCTGCAACCGCTGCTCTTCACTGGGAAGACTCTCGTCCCGTGACACTGTACACCCTCCAGGGCCTCATACCAGACGTCTTTCCGGACTGCATCCCTCCAGTCTGGGTCATCCTCCTCCTCGTATGCGAACACTGTCTGGGGACTAGCTGGTTCCTTACCGTTGTAGACAGGGGAGCTGTGCGAATACTAGCATTGCCCTCAATTTGTAAATCCAAACGGTGTCTCCAGTATGCTTCTATACTCACTAGGAAGCCATCCCACTGCTTGCCACCAGATGTGGTGGACCACCTGACACCCAAGCCTCTGCCAATTGCTGCTTCCTTAGTGCTTACTGAGTACAACAAGCACTGCACCAGACACCATCAGCACTGTAGTACCCACTTCAAGCATTACAGCTTGGTTGGGGTTTCACTGTCCTCCACCCACCCTGGATCCAAGACCAGGATCCAGCTTCCAGGGGGTAGACCTCTCCTCAAAGAGAGTGTAGAAATATGCTCTTAAAAGAACAAGTGATTATAATCCCTGGGGAGTATAGTGATATAGCAATCCCCAGGGTAGATACAGCCGTAAACCACAGTAGAAAAAAAAAATACACAATTACATTGGCTCTTAGATCCAGGACATCCCCATACATAATCAGATAATCCCTCCTCTGTGCCTGGGAGATAATTGGATCACAAACTGTACTAATCTAATCCAATTATCTCTAAGCACAGAAAAACACAATTTTTCCCAAACACCCCCAAAGGTACCTCCAAAACAAATGGAAACCCCACAAATCCCCTGATATCCCTGATCTGGGGGACCAACATATCCAAAAATCACCCAGATCGGTTCAGGATTTCCATGGAAGTCATAGTTTTGACCGACCGTGCATATGGTCCTATACCCAAAACAGTTCCAGGGAATTAGGGCTAACGGTCAGCCTCTCTTTCTGGAGTTCAAAAGTACATAAATCACATATGTTTTTAAAGGGCCCATAGTCTCTTGGCAATGCCTTTTGCTTGTATCTGTGGCAGAAGGTGGTTAAAGAGTCGACGGAGGTATTGTGCCATTTCTGTGTCGGTCACTGCTTCTGGAACACCCCGTAATTTGAGGTTCCTGCATTGACTCTGGTCTTTGTGGTCGATAAGTGGTGTGCCATGGTTGCTTGAGCCTGTGATAGCTCTTCGTGGTTGGTGAATAGGGCCACCTTTTGGGCCTGCAGGTCCAGTGTGTCTTTCTCCACCGCTTTAATTCTGCCCGTTATTGCGTGCATCTCCTCTTTCAGTATGTTGAGATCTGCAAGTTCGAGCTTGCGGATGTCTCGGAGGAGCGTTTTGATATCCTTCTTGGTGGCTCGGGTTTTTTGATCCTCATCTGATGAGGAATGGTGTAGGCCCCCTCCATTGGGGATGTCATAGAGTTCATCCATGGGTTATTTCTCCACAGATGAGGAATTGGTCATGGGTTGTGGCACCATTTTGGATATCGATTATTGTGGGCCTCCCAGCAGAAAATCCCTGATTTTGCAGGACCTGGAGCCCTTTGTGAGGTTTTGTTTTTTTGTGCGGTTTCCCATTTTCATGCCCAGTCTGACTGGGGTAGTAGGATACCGGGGAGCTGTTTTTGAAGAGATGAAGCTTGGAGCTCATACGAGACACGTTTGCTTGGGTTGCTTGCTAGTACCGCCCTCAGATAAATTTTTATTATCAAAAAATGTCTGACAGTGAAAATATCTGACAGTGTGACTGTCTGTCTGTGGTTGTGTGTGTGTTTGCCTGTGACTGTCTGTCTGTAATTGTGTGTGACTGTCTGCCTGTAACTGTGTGTGTATTACTGTCTGCCTGTAATTGTGTGTGATTGTCTGCCTGTGACTGTGTGTTTGTATGAGTGTGTATGACTGTCTTTAACTGTGTGTGTGAGTGCCTGTTTGCCTGTGACTGAATGTGTGACTCTCTGCCTGTGATTGTTTGCCTGTAACTGTGTGTGTGACTGTGTGCGAGTGACTAAGTGCCTTGAACTGTGTGCATGTGGCTGTATTTGGCATTGTGTCTGACTGTGGGACTGTGGGAACATGACACTGCAATACACGCCTGCATTCACACATTTGGCCTAAATGCATTGTTTATTAATCTGAATTAAAAAAACAATCACAAATATCACACACAGTCAATACACACACATATCACACATATTCTATACACCTACAGTTGCAAGAAAAAGTATGTAAACCCTTTGGAATGATATGGATTTCAGCACAAATTGGTCATAAAATGTGATCTGATCATCATCTAAGTCACAACAATAGACAATAACAGTCTGCTTAAACTAATAACACACCTGTGTTTTTATTGAACACACCATGTAAACATTCACAGTGCAGGTGGAAACAGTATGTGAACCCCTAGACTAATGACATCTCCAAGAACTGATTGGAGTGAGATGTCGGTCAACTGGAGTCCAATCAATGAGATGAGATTGGAGGTGTTGGTTACAGCTGCCCTGCCCTATAAAAAAGGCACACCAGTTCTGGGTTTGCTTTTCACAAGAAGCATTGCCTGATGTGAATTATGCCCCACACAAAAGAGCTCTTAGAAGACCTACGATTAAGAATTGTTGACTTGCATAAAGCTGGAAAGGGTTATAAAAGTATCTCCAAAAGCCTTGCTGTTAATCAGTTTATGTGTAGGGAATGTATGAAATTTATGTGATCAGTGTGCAGGGTTTTTATATGAAGGGCGAAGGGCAGGTGTTTTCTAGAAGGGGCGAGACCAGGGGCTTTGTAGAAAGGGGCAGGTCAGGAGTTTTCTAGAAGTTTCTCACCAGCCCCTTTCTACAAAACTGGCCCCACTTCTACAAAACCCCTGCCCTGGCCCCCTTCTACAAAACCTCTGCCCTAGCCGCTACATCTTTTGAACCCAAATCCCTTTCCTATGCTATTTCTAAGGATCAGCTCAATGAAGTGGTCTGGGTGCCAGGTCCCTCTAGTTTTAACCCTGCAGCTGAAAACATATGTTTCACTGAGGGTTAATCCAGCCTCTAGTGGCTGTCTCACTGACAGCTGCTAGAGGAGCTTCCGCAATTCTCACTGTAAAACTCACCATGAGAAGACGCTGGACGTCCATAGGAAAGCATTGAGTAATGCTTTCCTATGGGCAGTTTGAATGCGCACGCGGCTCTTGCCGCGCATGCGCATTCGGATCTGACGTCGGCAGGGGGAGGAGAGGTCACCAGCACCGAGGGAGCCCGACACTGGAGAAAGGTAAGTGGCTGAATAGGTTTAAGGGGTTAAAACCCCTTCAGCCACTTACCTTAATCCAGTGCCGGGCTCCCTCAGCGCTGGTGACCTCTCCTCCCCCGCCGACGTCAGCTCCCGAGTGGAGCCGAATGCACATGCGCAGCAAGAGTTGCGCGCACATTTAAACAGTCCATAGGAAAGCATTTCTCAATGCTTTCCTATGGACGTTCTGCAAGCTGGATGCAATTTTTGCATCCAGCGTCGCAGAAGCACCTCTAGCGGCTGTCAGAAAGACAGCCACTAGAGGTTGGATTAACCCTGCTATGTAAAGATAGCAGTTTCTCTGAAACTGCTATGTTTACATCTGGAGGGTTAAAATCTGGGGGACCTGGCACCCAGACCACTTCATTGAGCTGAGTGTCCCTTTAAATACCCTGGGTTGTCTACTTTTACAAATGGTATGCCAAGATGGGAAATATAAGATGGATATTGCACTAGTGAACCCTAGAACCAAAATAAATTTAGGATTTTTCTGCAGAAAACACCAATATGAAGCGAAATCGACCCAGCGGGTCTCAGCAACGAAAAATTAAGAAGGCAAGAGAAAAGTCAGCTGAGGCGATGTCTGGATCAATTTTAAAATATGTTGCACCTTCAACATCTACCGCAGTTGGAGAAAGTGCTGAAGACATTCAGTCTGTTGAATCCAGAGGTGAAATGCCTGAAGTATCTTCTCAAGAAGCTTCATATGTGAATGCGCAAGAATTGGAGAAGATCATTTTATCTTCAAGCGGTGAAAGTGATGTAGACAAAGGAGATGCCAGCAGAAGCCTGCATCAGCAAGACTCTGAGGATGATGAAGAAGAAGGATGTGAATCATTGAAAATTACCTCTGCCAAATAGACTGAGTGGTCACTTTGGATCTGTGTGTTTTTTTGTTTATAGAAAGCTTATTAGCTGTTAAGTAAATGTTAATTATTTAAATTTAATTTATTTCTAAGTTAATTTATTTTTCATAGTTCCATTTTTTTCAAGTTGATATACAGTTTACAAATTTGTGCAATAAATATTATTGAAAATATTGAAAATAATTGTGGGTGTTTTCTTAAATTTTTATTATGGGATGGGGGGGAGGGAGGGGTGCCACATTCAGGGTCCGCCCTGGGTGCCAAATGCTCTAGGTACGCCCCTGTATAGGGCGGCCCTAAGTGTGTGGGCTACCCGATGGGCCCCATCAGCGTGCGGGCCCCAGTGCAACTGCACCCGCAGCAGTTCCACCGCTACACGTGGGGCCCGGGCTGCCGGGCCCCCCAGGGCCGCTAGGTTGTCACCCCCTGATGGCGGCCCTGCCTGTGAGAAAGCTGCAAGCAGGCTGCTGGCAAGGAGCTGAGCACAGACCATATCATGGAGCAAGGTGGGCTCAGTGGGCAGTGGCACCCAGGTATTTAATGTTCATTTTACAGATTCTTAGAGTGTGTGTATGTTTGAAGCTGTATTTGTGAGTGTGTTTGGTGTGTATTTATGAAGTGTGTGTCAATATGGCTCAATGTGTGTGTGTGTGTGTGTGTGTGTGTGTGTGTGTGTCAGTATGAATCAGTGTGTGTCAGGAAATATGTTTGCATTAGTGATTGTGTGTCAGTGTCTGTTGATGAGTATATGTCAGTATGTGTATGTGTGGGCATCAGTTACTACATGCCATTGTGTGTGCCAGTGAGTATCCATTAATTAAAAATCCATGTGTCTGTCTATATCTGTGTTTTTTTTATTTGTTTTAAATTTAAAATAACAGATTGAATTTAAAATAAATATAAAATAGTTTTGCTTTATCTATGTGATTTGTGGGAGTATTATGCATCTATATATTTTCACAAATGTAGATTAATTTATGTGTATTATATCTGTATATATACATACATACACACACACACAAACTTAATCGTACAAATTATTATATTTATAATATATACAAACATCACTATGATACACATGTGTTAAGGACCACTATAGTGTTAAGGACCACTATAGTGCCAGGAAAACATACTCGTTTTCCTGGCACTATAGTGCCTTGAGGGTGCCCCCACCCTCAGGGGCCCCCTCCCGCCCAGCTCTGGAAAGGGGTAAAACTTACCTTTTTCCAGCGCTGGGTGGAGAGCTCTCCTCCTCCGATCCTCCTCTTCTCCTCCCCGTCGGCTGTATGCGCACGCGCGGCAAGAGCTGCGCGCGCATTCAGCCGGTCACATAGGAAAGCATTCATAATGCTTTCCTATGGACGCTGGCGTGCTCTCACTGTGAAAATCACAGTGAGAAGCACGCAAGCGCCTCTAGCGGCTGTCAATGAGACAGCCGCTAGAGGAAATAGGGGAAGGCTTAACCCATTCATAAACATAGCAGTTTCTCTGAAACTGCCATGTTTATGAAAAAATGGGTTAACCCTAGCTGGACCTGGCACCCAGACCACTTCATTAAGCTGAAGTGGTCTGGGTGCCTAGAGTGGTCCTTTAAGTGTGTGTGCATCTGCATGTACTGGCGTACATACCGCGGTCGCAGGGGTCGCAGCCCTGTAACCCCTGTGACCAGGTGCCCACCGCCATGTGTTGCGGTCCGGCCCGCGCGCGCGGGGGGCCCACGGATCAATTTTAGCACCGGGGCCCCAGGGGTCATGTGTACGCCACTGAGGAATATACTTGCCTAAATCCAAGCTAAAGAGTAAAGTATCCCCTTATCCCCTCCTTCTACACACTCCTCCCAACCTGCTGCTTCAAGGCAGCCCCCTACTTTAACCCCTTAAGGACACGTGACATGTCATGATTCCCTTTTATTCCAGAAGTTTGGTCCTTAAGGGGTTAATCTACCTGCATTCATCTACATACTAGGGTGCAAAAGTGCCGTCATAATCTCCCGTTCTGAAGAGTGCAAAAAAAGTCGTAATTAAATCGTAATTGAAATCAAAGAAGGTGCATCGGCACAAAAGGCTTGACGCATGTTTCGGCAGTAGGAAACGCTTTTATCAAGAGCAAACTTACAACTGTAATCCACCGGGTTTTAAAGTGGATTAGTCCCTTCTCCCTTGGAGGCTAAACCAATCTTCATCACTTTTGTCATTGAGGACACACCCTCGGAAGAATCGGCCAATCGATAGCCCCCCATTTCCTCAAGGGACGGGACCAAATGTCAAACCAATAGATTCAAGCTGCAGTCATAATTCCTATGATGGACATCGGGACTGAGTTCGGTAAATGTAAGTACTTCTGTTCAACTCCCACGAACCTCAGCCACTCAGTCGATCCGGGAAAAAAGATAATAAATCTAGATCTGTATTCTCTCAATCTGAGAATGGGAAGGAGGACAGAGAGGGATACATCACATGCACCCCAGGGGGAGATTCAACTAATCAGTGACCCACTGGTATTTTGAGGGGCAGGACCAAATGTCAAAAACAGTAAGTTTAACATGCCCTCCTGATCAATTTAATAGGCATCCAGACTATGCCTGTAAGTAAAATTACTCATATAACCTCAACCGCAGGTCAGGACAGGAGCCTTAATTTTTTCTTATGCTTCCTCGATCGAAATTCAATGATACTCGAGAGGGGCAGGGTCATGTACCAGTCCCTCAATCTGCTCGGCCCTATTGTCTCCACATGTAAAACTGAAAGAGATTTGCTCCCATCAATAATGATTCCAGATACACTAATTTCCTTTCTTTGATTGGAATGTGCCACATCACAACTTGGGCAAGTTGTGCTGCCAAATAATAAAAGTAAAGATGCAGTATTTAATTTAGGGCGATATAAAACATATCTTAATACCCTATGTCGTTTGTTCTGCCAAATGAAAAAAACAATTGCTTTTTGCAGGGGTGCTAAATCTGTTTTAGATATTGGAATCAGTAATGCTTGGAACTAAAATAATATATGTGGAAATATATTAATTTTAAATGAATGAACCCATCCAATCCACAATATCTGCTCATCCAGGCAATTTTCCATAACTTTTATTAAAGTTCTCAACAACGGAGTATAATTTAACTCAGTTTGAAAGACTACGCCATTAAATTGAATACCCAGATATTTAATAGAGCACTGTACCATCTGAATGTGATGAATAGCCTAAATGGATGCCATATCTGCCGCAGACAGTTTGATCGGGAGGGCATTACATTTATCCATACTAGCTTTATATCCTGACATAGTCCCAGCACCTCCTCCATGAATGTTACAGTGTTTACGTATTGCATGCAAGAGGGGTTCTAAAGGAAAAAAACAAAAATAGGGGAAATAACAGGCAGCCCTTGTGGTGTACCATTTCCTAGTTGGGTGGACTTCTTGGGGGCACCTGTAATCTACACCTGTGCTTTTACCTTACTATACATTGCTTTAATAGCAGTGATGTAAGGTTCTGGGAAGCTCAAAAACAATAGGGTCATTCACTCTATCGAATGCCTTCTTGGCATCAAGGGATACAATTAAAGTAGGCATGTTAGTGGCGACTGCTGCCAAATAAGATCAATATTCCTATGAGTGTTTTTGAACAATTGACACCCGGGGATAAATCCTACTTGGTCAGTGTTAATTAATCTCGGTAATATCGCCTAGGATTTTCCCCCATATCTTGGTATCATAATTGATAAGAGAAATGGGCCTATAAGGTTCTGGAAACTGGATCTTTGCCTGGCTTTGGAATCAAAACTATAATAGCCAAGGACATACCCCTGTCGGGGAGTCCCACGTCTCTGAAATAGTTAAGCAGTAGCTCCAATCTGGGCGTTGAATCTTCTCCAAAAATGTTATAGTATCCTCTGTCAAAGCCATCGGGCCCCAGAGCTTTGTTCCCTTTTAGTGCTGATGTAGCGTTATCAATGTCTTCGCTACTTATCCAGCACCTTTAGACTAAGCTTTGGTAGATCAGGCCTAGAAAGGAAAGAGTGAGTGGGCTCAACGTAATTGTCCTGAAAAATGTAATCCTGGGGGAGAGTAATTATACAGTTTCTTATAAAAGTTCATAAAGACAGAAACAATATCCGTTTTTTTATTAGCTTTTTCCTACAAAGTCAGTTTGGACCATATAGTAGATCTTGCAGTATCTTCAAGGAGCAGCTCCCTAATGGGCAGTTGTACTGCTCTTAATTGTAGCAGTGTGGTAGCACTGGAATGTAGTTTGTGTTGCTCTAGGGATCACAATGTTTCCAATAATTAAGCCAGTCTTTGTTTATTTTTCAAAGTTGCTAACTGTAAGAAAAATCCCTGTCATCACTTCTTTGTGATTCACCCAAATGGCCCCAGGGGTTAGATCTGTATTATCGTTTTTAATTACATATTCCTGAAAATCCTTGCGGATCGCAGAAACTATCAAGGGATCCTGTAGGGAAGAGGCCTCCATATCCAGGGCGAGGCTGCACAAAGATTGATGCATCCGAGACAGGCGTAGGGGCTGTTCTCTCTCATCCTTGTGGCTACTTCTCCAGAAAGATGTCTCCTGCTGAGCGCAACTATGATATTGGCAATAGAGAACTGTTGGCCATTATTCTTGCCCTCAAGGAGTGGCGACATCTTTTGGAGGGTTCCAAGGACCCCCTGTTGATCATAACCGACCACAAAAATCTGGCATATATAGGGGATGCCAAACGTTTGTCTTCCAGACAGGCTAGATGGTCACTGTTCCTTTCACGTTTTAACTTTCTCATTACTTATAGACCTGGTTCTAAAAATACCAAGGCTGATGCCTTGTCCAGGCAATTTGATAATGAGTCAGCTCCGGAACAGATGACATCTCCTATTATTCCAGCAGAGTGTATTATTGCTACTACTGTCCTCTCACTGTCTTCTCCACTGCTTGGCACCATACTGGAGGCCCAGCCTCAGGCGCCCAGTGGTAAACCGTGTGATAAACTGTTCGTTCCCCTAT